CCTGGTGTCTGGTGAAGGGCTTGGGGCATTCAGGACCGTGCCCAGCTTCCTGAAGGCCTGGCCCTGCCCAGGTTCGGATGATCTCTGAGGAATTGGTAGCCTCCGGTGGGACCCAGGTGCATGAGGCAGACGTCCCAAAGAGGCCCCAGGAAACTACAGCTACCTACAAGCCCAGGGTGAGTGTGACTCCATGGGGCTCCTGGGGCCAAGGACCTGCCTTGACCCTCAGTCCCTGGGAAAGCTACTGGAAATCAAGAGGGCCCTCACAGGAGCCCAGGAGACTCCTGCCTGTGCCCAAGCTGTCAGAGAGCTTTCTGTCACTGTGACAAAGTGCCTGAGATAATCAGCTTGCAAGGAGGAAAGGTTTATTTTGGCTCACAGTTTCTTCAATCCATAGTCACTTGGTCTCATCACTTGGGGTCTGTGGCAGCACAGTACATTATGGCTAGCACATGTGGTGGAGGAACCCTGATCACGTCATGATGGTCAGAAGGCAGGGAGGAAGGGACCAGGGGGCTGATGTCCCCTTCAGAGGCATGCCACCAGTGACCTGCCTTCCACTGGGCCCCACCTCCCAGTGGCGTCACGAGCAGTGACTGTGACGGACTTGTGAGTGACCAATTGAACACCCAAACCATAACACTGAGCAGACTCCTCCGTGACCTGGAGCAGCCCTTGCCTCCTGTGCCCTCAAGAGCACGCAGTCTGTCGGTGGTCGGGAGGAAGAAAGCCCCAGGCAGGTGCACCTGTGGTCACCAGGCCCCCTCCACAGGCCAGGCTGATGTCCTTGAAACGGCCAGATGATGTCCCACTCAACCTTCCTTCCACCAAGCGGGCTTGTAACTCCCCATCAGCCCAGATGGAGGGCGGCCCCTCAGGCCCCGACAGCAGCCAGGTGAGAAGCCAGGTCCAGGGGTGACGTGTTAGGGGAGCAGGAGCGGGTAGCCATGACGCCTTGTGTCCCCACAGCCTGCCCTGCAGCTGGAGCCCCTACACTTCCTGCAGTGCCACAGCAGGAACAACAGCCCTCAGGACCTGAAGACCCAGCTGTGGGCCTGTGCCTTCGAGCCAGCCTGGGAGGAGGGTGCGTCTGGGGGAGGGAGGAGGGCCACCGGAGCAGAGCCACACCATGCGCACTCCCAGCAGGGCCATGGCGGGGGGCCATCCCTGAATAGAGGGGGCAGTCGGGAAAAACGGCACTGTGGTACACACCTGTAATCCCCCTGGAGGCTAGGCAGGAGGATGGCAAGTTCAAAGCCAGCCTCCGTAATTGAGCAAGACCCTGTCTCAAATAAAAAGGGCTGGGGATACAGCTCAGTGGTAAAGTACCCCTGGGTTTAATCCCCAGTGCCACCAAAAAAAAAAGTTTTATAGGCTGGGAAGAGGGAGCTGCAGGGAAGGGCTTACGGCAAAAGTTTTCACTCAGATGACCCCTTGAAACAGGGCACTCCGGGGCCACCTCCCAGACGGTGGCCACGTGTGGCGGGGAGGCGGTTTGCGTGATAGACTGCCAGACGGGCATCGTGCTTCACAAGTACAAGGCGCCTGGCGAGGTGAGTGCCAAGGCTGCCGGGCCAAGTGTGGGGTTCTCAGTCCTCCCGACCTTGTCCTCACGCAGGCCCCCAGGCCTGGCGCTGCGGCATGTTCACACTGTAACTGCTCAGTGACCGCTTCCCCGCCTCCTCCAGGAGTTCTTCTCAGTGGCCTGGACAGCCCTGACAGTGGTCACGCAGGCAGGCCACAAGAAGCGTTGGAATGTTCTGGCGGCCGCAGGCCTGCGTGGCCTGGTCCGGCTGCTGCACGTGCGGGCGGGTTTCTGCTGCGGGGTCATCCGGGCCCACAAGAAGGCCATCGCCACCCTCTGCTTCAGTCCCATCCATGAGACCCACCTGTTCAGTAAGACCCTCTCCCCTGACCCAGGGCTTCCCCACATCCCAGGCTGCTGCCCTGATGGCCTCATGTGTCCCCTCCCTGGGATGGTAGGGAGTTGGTGGCTGCTGGGTTCCCTGGGCCTTGAGTTCAGCTGTGGCGCTGACATGGCTTCATGGTTAACTGACTGGGCTCTGGATCCGATCTTATGCCCAACCTGCTCTGTGGCCTTGGAGTTTCCTGGAAACCTGGGCCCCTGCTCTGTCAGTGACCTGGGTGGGCACTGCTGGCCCTCAGGGTGAACCCAGCAGAGGTGGTGAAGGAGTGGCAGGAGACGGCTGCGGTGCTGGGTACACGGAACTCAGCAGGATGGTGGGACCGTTGGCTAAGTCCCATTTCCTGGCCACAGTCCCACTCCCCCCTCTGAAGGGCTGACCTGGGGACCCTGGTCTCAGCCTGGGACGCAGCCTGCAGGAGGGCACAGGGCCCCTCAGGGCTGCTCTCCCCTTCCCATTCCCTCCTCAGCGGCCTCCTATGACAAGCGGATCATCCTCTGGGACATTGGGGTGCCCAACCGTGACTATGAGTTCCAGGCCAGGTGAGCCTGCAGGTGGCCTGGGGAGGGAGCAGTGGCCAGCAGGTCACACAGGGCTCCGGACTCATGCTGCCCCTCACCTGCTGGCAGCCAGCTGCTCACACTGGACTCCACCTCCATCCCGCTGCGCCTCTGCCCCGTCGCCCCCTGCCCGGATGCCTACCTGTTGGCTGGCTGTGAGGGGGGCTGCTGCTGCTGGGACGTGCGGCTGGACCAGCCCCAAAAGAGGAGGTGAGGCCCGGCAGGGATGCCTGGAAAGCCAGGCCCTGGGACTGGGTGCCCAGCATGCCCCTGCCCTTGGCAGCCTTAGAGACGTCGGGGCGCTCCTCACCATACTGTGACCAACTGATTTGAGCCCAGGTCCTGCTGCTCAGCAGTGTGACCTTCTTATTAGCGTAATGTCCTTGTCCATAGAAAGGAGACAACGACTTGAACCCCAGGGCTAGTGCAGGGCAGGGAGGTGGCGCATCAGTGTCAACTGGAAAACTCCTGGGACAGTGCACAGCACGGGTTCCTGCCTTGAGACACAGCCTTGCAGGGAGACAGGCCTCACAAAGGTGGCCAGTGACAGCCCCACAAAGGGTGGTGTCAGCTCCAAAAGAAGAATAATTGGGAGGGGATGTCCTCACGGAGTCAGCCAGGGCACTCTGCCAAGGAGACGAGCGGCAGGCAGCCTACAAGGACCAGGCAGGGGAGAGGTTGCCTGGAGGGACGGCGTGCGCAGAGGGCCAGTGGAGGCCAAGGCAAAGGGTGTGGCATGTCCAGCTAAGTGCTAGTGGTGGCCGTGGGCTCCACTGCTCCCATCCAGCCCCCCCTGCACACCTGGAGTAGCACTGGCTACCTCTCACTTCCTCGTGCCACGTCTGCCTGTCCCATATGCTCAGGTGTGTTGGTGCCTTCTTGTCCCCTCTGCCACGGCTCAGGCCTGTCCCTAGTTAGGTGCTTTTTGGCTGGCCTCTGCAGGACTGGGCAGGCACACAGTGACCCCACTCATGTGAGCCACTCCCCTGTCCTCGGGGTCAGAGCAGCCCCACCCCAGGTCCTGGCATATGGCCCGAGACACCTTCCCAGCTTGGCACCTGGGCCCAGAGGCCCAGCCACATAGCCCACCCATCCTACCCCTTGTGCCTCTGGGCGCCCACTCCCTGTGGCCTGGGGCACCAGAAGTTGGCCCCCTTCAGAGTGACGCTGAGCCTCTCGGTGGCCAAGAGTGCCGTTTGGGGCTGCATCTCCCAGCCTCCCCCAGGCCAGGGCCCAGGTGGCTGGCTGACCAGGGCAGACAGGCGGCTCTGCATGCCAGGGCCAGCCACTGGCACTGTCTGCCATCCTGCAGGGTGTGCGAGGTGGAGTTCGTCTTCTCTGCGGGCTCCCAGGCACCCGGGCGGAGAGTGGATGGGCTGGCGTTTGTGAATGAGGATGTCGTGGGTGAGTGAGCCCGGGCAGGAGAGCCTGGCCTCTGGGACCCATATGGGTGGGTCACTTATCCTTGGGCTGGGCTCAGGTCCAAGGGCTTCTGAGGCATCCCACGTGGGGAGCGGGAGAGCGGCAAGGGGCAGCCTGGGCACAGGTCTCCATTCTGCCTTCACCACAGCCTCCAAGGGGAGTGGCCTGGGCACTATCTGCCTGTGGAGCTGGAGCCAGACATGGGCGGGCCGAGGCAGCCAGTCCCCGGTGGCTGTGGTGGTCCTGGCCCAGCTGCAGTGGTCATCCACGGAGCTGGCCTACTTCTCGCTCAGCACCTGCCCTGGTGAGTCCCCCTGCCCCCACCCCTGCTTCTTGGAGCCCTGCCCCCACTGACTCTCACCTGAGGCCCCTCTGTCCTGGCAGAGAAGGGAGTCGTGCTCTGCGGAGATGAGGAGGGCAGCGTGTGGATCTATGATGTGGAGCACATCCTAAAGCAGCCGCCTCCACAGCTGGCAGCCCCACAGGCCCCTGTGCAGGTACCATCCCAAGGGTGCCGTCCCCATGGGTGCCATCCAGGCCCCGCCTCCTCCAGGCTGGGCTGGCAGTGTGTGGGGCTGGTGTCTGGAAGCAGGAACCCAGCCCTCTCTCTGGTCCCACCAGATCCTTAAATGGCCTCAGCCCTTAGCACTTGGGCAGCCGGTGACCAAGACCATGGTGAACACTGTGGTGGCCAATAGTGCCTTGACCTACCTCACGGCTCTGACGGACTCCAACATCATAGCTGTCTGGAGGAGATGCTAGCCGGGCAGGCTCCCCGGACGCAGCGCACCAGGGACACGGCTAAACTTATTTAGCTCGGGGCTGGAGGGGGGCGTTTTGATAGTGTCTTTATTAAATTCTCGATTTCCACATGGCGCCTCGAGCACTGTTTGCAGTGACGCAGACCCAGCAGCTGGGCTTCCAAGACAGGTTCATGGATGTGCGCACGTTTTCCCAGCCCGCTTCTGCTCAGTGCCGTCCAGCAGCCCCCAGACAGAAGTCGGGGCCTCTGGGCCAGTCCACTCAGGAGTGGCCCGAGTGTCCAGAACAGGTTGTCTGCCAGACTACCTGCTGTGAAGTCACCTCCACTACATCTGGGTCCTTGAATGTCATACTTTATTAGGAAGCTAAAACAGTCTATGTACAGGACACCTCAGTGTCAGGGAAGGTCTCGAGGAAGCTGCCAGGAGCCACAGCTGGGCCTGGCCATGGTCCTCTGCGATGCCTACAGAGGAGGGTACAGTGGAGGCTGGAGCTGGGCTTGCAGGAGGAGCAGGTGTTTTCTGACCCTTCTATTCAATCCCCTCTTGCTTGTCTTTGATGGCCACCTGGGGAAAAGGAAGAAAGCAGCCCCTCAGCCGGACTGGCCAGGCTGCCGGAAACAGGTCTAACAACCTGCACAGGGTCCACCAAGGAACTCAGGCCATGGCCCTTCTCCCCAGCGCAGCCCAGGCTGCACTGCACACAGGAGGAGGGGGAGAGGCAGCACATGCTGCCACTGCTGGGCCCAGTGGCCACACACCCTGCAGAGATAAGGGGGACCTCGAATGCTGCGGCTCTTTCCCTGTCTAAACTGTCCTAGACTGTGGTGGGACGGCCCCACTTGGGATGAACTGCCCCTTGGCAGCACCTGGAGGCAGACAGGCCTTACGCACCAGCTGCCCAGCAGCAGAGGAGACACAAGAACAGTTTCTAGGGGCAGCAGGTCCCCTGGGCCCATGGGGACCACAAGAGCGCAGGAGACTGGGCACTAAGGAAAGTTCCCACCCCCCAGGGAGACGGCACCCCTCAGCTCCACAGCCCTGGTCAGAGCACCTGGGGAGGTGGGGGAAGTCCCTGCTCCCCATGCCTCCCACCAGAAGCCTCCCAGGAAACAGCCCTGGGGCACCCTGGGTGTGGGCCAGGGAACAGCTCCACCAGCACCCACAACCTCACCCGGAACCGCTCTTCCAGCAGGGAGAGCTCGCTGATGAGGTCTGTGATGGCGTTGGTGAAGGCCTCCTGGGGGCTGTAGTCCGGCGTGGTCTGCACACGGATGATGATCTTGTGCTCCAAGGGGTGGGGCACTTTGTAGCCAGCAAACAGCACCTGTGGGTCCTTCAGCAGCTGTCTGAGAAACAGGAGCAGATGGCATGAGGCAGGCAGAGCCTAGTGGCCTTTGGGCCCTAGCCTGGGACTTACCAGCTTTCTAGCCACGCCATTTCTTTTCCCAGAAATCTTCGAGTAAAATAGACACTCAAGATATGCCACATGGGATCCCCAACACACATCCTGCATCCAGTAGGATTCAAGGACTCTGGCTGGGCTCTGGATTCCTGAGATTTCTGTTAAGACAGGGACCCAGCCCTGCCAGCAGAGAGACCTCCCTAAACTGAATATCCAGCCAGGCGCCAGGACACACAAACCCTGGGCCTGGTCCTAAAAGGGCCCTGGAACAACAAACCAGTCAGCAGGGGAAGGAGTTCAGGCTCCCAGCTGCTGGTGACAGGAAGCAGTCCCTGCACACTGGCCTGCTCCATGGGGCTACAGGGCTCTGCACTGGCACCACGGAGCTCCAGAGCGCTCCTGGCCAAGCCTGAGCACAAGGGAGGCCTCTGCGCAGGGGGACACTGGGCTCACGCAGCAAGGGAGCAGCAGGCCCTGGAAAAGCTGGGTGCCCTGCTGTCCTGGCTTAGGGAAGGGGTCATCAGGAGACGGGCATCCCCATACCTTGTGCACCAGGACCAGGGTCACTGCTGCCCACAGCCTCCAACATGCCAGACTGGGAAAAGCATAGCTCCCCTGTCCCCTCTCGCCACCTACCTCTGACCCCCTACCTAGCTGGAGTTTCACTGGTGTGGCCAATGTGGGGTGCCCACGGCAGGCACTGGAGACCCACACAACATCTCTTCACTTCCCCTTGTTCCACGGCAGTCAGTCTCTGCCTCTACATCTTGGACTATTCAGTGACCTCTGTCACTGAGGTCACTGTCACTAGTAGGGGTGGGGTGGGGGGAGCTAACCCTGGCCACCTCTCAGTGCTCATCAGCATAAGTAGCCCTGCTTTCCTGCGATAAATAGATAGAGAAACAGGCCTTATGTGAGCAGACCCGGGTCAGCTCGCCCTGGGAGCAGAGCACTAGGATGGCGGCATTCAGGCAAGAGATGAGGACTTCCTGTAGTTCAGAGAGACAAAGGGATCTCAGGGGACTTGTGCTTGGCCCCAAAAGCCCCGTTAACCACCCCTGAAGGCCCCTGTCCTGGAACTTACGATTTGATGATGTTTCCTAGCGTGTGGTCTTCTTTATTGATGGTGAACAAACAGGCATTGGGCACTTTGGTGTCCTTGTTAATGGTGATCCTAGAAAGAGGCAGAAGCAACAGTTGAGGGGCAGGAGCTCCCCAAGTCTAAACCCTGCCCTTCCAGGCAGGCCAGGTCCTGCCTCCTCTGAGAGCCTTTCTCCATCTCTTCACCCCAGAGAAACTGCTCTGAGGGCTGGACGGCCCGGTGTAGAGCGCTTGCCTAGCATGTGCAAGGCCTGGGTTCCATCCCCAGCAGTACAGAAACAAAACAAAAATCCCTCCTGACTCACGACAGTACAGTGACCCAGGGCCCTCCCCCCCACCACACACACACACACACCCGTGTCAGCCGAACACTGATTGCCAGGGCCCACACATGCTAGAGAGGGGCTGCGCCAACCCCCAGCCCCAGCTGCCCTGTCTGGCTAAGCCAGCACTCCGCAGACGCAAAACAACAGCTTTGTTTCCCGTGGGGAACTATTTTGTACACTGTGACCTTAAGGGCATCCCTGGCTTCTACCGACTAGATGTCAGCAGCAACCCCTGTGACAACCAGAAATGTTTCCAGACATTGCCAGTCTCTCCTAGGGGGACAAGATGGTTCCCCAGTCGAGTCTCTGCCTAAAGGAAGGCTGAAGTGGCCGACAAGGGCTAGACCATGGGACCACACACACCAGCCTCTTAAGAAAGAGAAGGCTCAGGGCGCTGGCACGCACCTGTAGCCCCAGCAACCAAGGAGGACTGTAAGTCCGAGGCCGGCCTGGGAACATAGCAAGACACTGTCTCAAAACAATGAAGGGCTGGGGATGCAGCTCAGTGATAGAGAGCCCCTGGTTAAACCCCTGGGACCAAAACAAGCACAAGAAGGGCTAAGGCTTCAGTCTTCAAGGGCTAAGGCTCAGCGATTTGCACAAATTACTTCGTGTAAGCCTAAGAGAAAATTCTATGACAAAAAATAGCAGGAAGTCCACTTGCAAGGTAACGAAACTGGGCCTCCAGCCAGATCAGGCCACACCGGGGGCTCCAGGAGCCAAGCCCTGGCTGGCTGACCACTGGCCTCCAACCTGCCAGCAACGGGCACTCACTGCAGGTTCCACACCGGCAATGCCACACAGCAGCTTTAGAGCCATCGCTGTGGCTGCCCCACGGAAGGTGGAGGTGGCGGGTGGGAGACGCGTCGGCTGCCAGGTCCCTAAGGAAAAGGACTTAGGAGCCAGACGCGGGGTTCGACTATAGTAGACCCCACCAATTCCTGCAAGCCCGGTGCAAGTGACTCAACTTCCCTAAGCCTCACTTCCCTCCTCTGCAAATGGGTGCACTCGCCACGGCCTCGCAGGGCTGCCTTAAGCGGGGCAAGCAAGAGCTGCTGCAAAAGCTGCTCCCGTCCCCCGCGCCGGGCAGGAGAAGCCCCAGACCCGCAGGGACCGAGGCGATGGGCGCTGCCCGCGAGCCCCGCCCGCCCTCTCCGCTTACTTCTTCTCGCCCTCGAAGAGCAAGAACGACTCGAAGGCCGGCGGGGCGTTCATCCTGGCGCTGCAGCCGGGCCCACACTCAAAGCGGCTACCGCCGCCGCCGCCGCCGCCAGCGCCTTATAACGTGACCTCTTCCGGGTCACGCCGGCGCTGCCACCCCGCGTAAGTCCGGCTCACTGCCCCCTGTCGGACCGGAGGACCTCGCGCAGGCGCACGCACGCCCGAGAGAGGCCGCGAGCTCTGCGCATGCGTCAATCCAGACTGCTCACACGCGCTCTGACAGCTGGGGACTGCTCTGGTTCTACCATGACATCTTGGTCCAGGCTAAGCAGGAATCCGAGATGGGCACCTCTGGTCTCTCCACACCCCTTCATCTCTTTGGAAACGTGTTCTGGAGGGTGACAGAATGGAGCCAATGGGGTAGGGGGCAGTTGTGGGGGGTGAGGAGTGCTGGTCCTAAGGAAGTATCCTAGCTAGAAGGATGTGTATAAAGAAGCCCTCTGCCAAACCTCCCAGTGCAGAATGCTGCAAGACCCCTGGCAGGGTTGTCACTGGCTTCTAGTTAGCAGGATCAGTCGGGGAAGGACTGGGGGAGGAGGCAGGTGCACACTGACGTAAGAATGCCAGGCGCTTGGTGGGGTAAGTGCGTCATCCCCTGGTTGAATGGGTTAATATTTTTGCAGACTCCGTTTAGTATAAAGGCCCTACCTGCGCTGTTTGAAGCAACAGGAGTTCCAGGTGAGCTACTGAGCCCTAACAGCTTGGCAGCAGCCCTGAAGCCCCCACGGGAATCCGGAGCTGGTACCACTACTTCCATTTCCCACTTGAGCCCTGGAGTGACCAAATGTCACTGTGCCTGGGTGATATCCAATCCAGGAGGCAATGAACAGGACCCTAACTCTCCAGGCCAATTGGGTGGGGCTTCTGAGTGGTGATGAAGTCAAGCCGGTGAGGGCAAGGATTCCCTGACTGGTGACCCCCACCCTCTGGGTCGCATGGTAAAGTCTGGCTGAAGATGCTGAGCATTTCATCTCTCAAAATGGGGGCGGTGGGGTTGTGGCTCAGCTGCAGAGCGCTCACCTAGCAGGTGTGAGGCCCTGGGTTCAATCCTCAGTGCCACATAAAAATAAATAAATAAAGGTATTGTGTCCAACTACAACTAAAAAATAAATATTTTTAAAAATGCACATCTTGGGCTAAGGTCATGGCTCAGTGGCAGAGCACTTACCTCACACATGTGAGGCACTGGGTTTGATCCTCAGCACCACTAAAAATAAGCAAAATAAAGATATTGTGCTAACTAATGTGTATAACTAAAAAAATATTTTTTTTAAAAAATGCACAGCTTCTCAAAAATGCTCCATGAACAGGCTTCATTGGGCATTTTTTTTCTGTTGCTACGGCAGATCTTTAATGCATGTTCATTCTATATTTGCTTTTTTTTGTTATTTTGTTTTGTTTTTGGTACTGGAGATTGAACCCAGGGGCTAACCCACTCACCCCTTTTTTTCGGGGGCTACTGGGGATTGAACTCAGGGGCACTCAGCCACTGAGCCACATCCCCAGCCCTATTTTTAAAAATATTTATTTAGTTGTAGATGAACACACAGTATGTTTTTGTATTTTTATGTGGTGCTGAGGACCGAACCCAGTGCCTCACACATGCGAGACAAGCACTTTACCACTGAGCTACAGCCTCAGCCCCCCAGCCCTATTTTGTATTTTTTTTAGAGACAGGGTCTCATTGAGTTGCTTGCTTTTGCTGAGGCTGGCTTTGAACTCGCAATCATTCTACCTCAGTCTCCTGAGCCACTGGGATGACAGGCGTGTGACACTGTGCCTGGTTACCCACCTCCTTTTTATGAAACAGGAGGTGCAATCATCAAATTGCTGAGACTGGCCTCCAACGTGTATTCTTCCTGCCTCAACCTTGGGAGTCACTGGGATCACAGGCATGTGCCACCACCCCTGACTTCTGAATGTGGTTTTAAACATTCATTTGAACTTCTAACTGAATGCCCAACTCTTCCCTCCATGTGTCCTTATTTTATGATCTTGGGCAAATTACTGCATTTGCCTGATGGCTTAAAAAACACAGAGCTGCTAACAGGCTGACAGGTGGAATATGTAACTGAATTGGCGCAGGTAAAATGTTGGAACGGTGCCCACTCGAAGGCTCCTGCATATTGGCGGCTGCAGCCAGCAGCCAGTGCTGGGATGGCAGAGGCTGTACAGTGGGGCAGCCTTGGGGCAGGGAATGTCCACTGAGTCCTACCCGGAGGCCTCAGGGGCTTCTCTGCCCTTTAGGCAGGAAGGCTCCTCCCACCCTGCACCTGGGCTGCCCACAACAGCAGCAGCCTGTGGCCCTGGAACAGGGCAGCACAGAAAGGGCGCATGGGCATGTGGAGTGGGGCAAGATGATGACAGGGGCCCGGTCCCTTGTCACTCCAGCACCCCAGGACCAATGCTGCTGTGATCCAGAGGCCAGTTGTCATTGCCACACACAGGCAATGGGGGGGTCCTCGTGGGCAACCCCTGGGAGAGGGGACTGGTGGGGCCTGAGAGGGATGAACCAACCAAAGGCACAAGTTCCCAGAATGCCAGGGACTCTGCCTGAGGAACCTCTGCTCCCATGACACAGGGACGGGACCTCATTCACACTTCGTGACAGCAGGAACGGCCTGGGCCTCTGGGAAGGAAGGCGTAAGATAAACCCTGCGGGGCCAGAAATGGTTGACCTTTGGCATCTGGTGTCTGAGAGTGAAGGTGGCCACCTGCCAACGTGGGCTGAAGGCCTTGGATAGTGGTTCAGGACCTTCTCCTCACCCTGAGCAAAGTCACCAGGACATGGCTGGGAGCTCAGCCTGACAGCCCCCAGCCCCCAGCGTGGCCAACCCTGAGGTCCTACAGCATGGCCTGGGTGCAGGAAGAGGGGTGGCCCTGCTGTGCAGTCTTCAGGACACTCTAGGCAGGGGCTAATGGGGAGTCGGCTTCAGGGAGACTGCAACTGGGAAGGGCTGGGACCTGTGGGGGCGGAGGAGGGGACCCAGGAGTAGAGGGGCTCCTGCCCAGGTGGGGGGGCAAGAGTGGGCAGAGAGATGCACAGAGGACCTGTGGCAGCCCTGGCTCCCCCTGATGCCCACTCCAAGACCCCCAAGCTCTGGCAGTCACAGCAGTTTATTGTTGGCTGTAGGGCACCTGGTGCCCTGCTCAGGGGCCAGGCAGCGGGGGGACAGGGGAGCCGCAGGGGTCATGGCCATAAGCGAGGGGGCATGGGGGGACATGAGGCAGCCTGGTCTTCTGGGCCTGGACCCCCCCAGGGCTGTCCTGGCTGGGTCTGTCCTAGGCAGGACAGGAGGGTACCTGGAGAAGCTGAGCTGCAGAGGGCATAGGGAGTGGCCGGGCCCTCCCAGGAGCCACCCAAGTCGCCCAGACTTCAGGTCTACCATGAAGGGCCAGAGACCCACCGAGGGGGACCAGGCTGGCCCCCAGTGGGGGAGGCTGGGCACAGAGCCCAGAGCACAGCGTCGTTTCCGAGCGCCTGGCAGGTGGGGGCTCCACGCAGGCCTCACGTCTGCAGCTCCAGGAGGCGGCCGGGCTCTGAGGGGGGCGGCCCGGGCGGGCTGGCGCTGTGGGCCTCCCGGAGGTCCTGCAGCACCTGGAGCAGCTGGCCCAGCGGGTCTGTGGGGGCTGGAAGCAGACGCAGCTGTGAGGGCGGCACTCAGGGTCTCGGGTAGACACGAGTCCCCGGTGGAGAGACCTACCTTCACCAGAGCCCGCGGGCATAGCATCTGCCTCTGTGTCCCCACTCAGCTCCCGGTGCTTCTCCCTGGGGGTGGGGGGTGAGGGCAGGTAAGGGTCAGTGCCACTTCCCACCTGCTGGGAAGGCCCAAGGTCCCCACGTGGGGGGTGGGGTTGACTCAGTCTATGGGGGTGGGGACAGGTCTTGAGCCCTGGTCACCTTCCAGTTTGCCTCTTCCAACCAATCCCTCCCCTGCCCCAAATGTGGGTCAACCAGAAAGGTTTTTTTTTTTTTTTTTTTATACTAGGGATTGAGCCCAGGGGCACTTAACCACTGAGCCACGTCCTGGCCCTTTTTAGTATTTTATCAGAGACAGGGCCTCACCGAGTTCCTGAGGCTGGCTTTGAACTCACGATCCTCCTTCCCTCAGCCTCCCAAGCTGCTGGGATTACAGGCAAGCCCCACCAGAGGCTTTTCACATACCACTATCCAAACCTTGTTGCTTTGCCTTGCAAGGCCTGCCTATGAGGACACCGCCAACTGGGCCTGAAAGTCCCCTAGTGTCAACTGGTCATGAAATGGTGTTTTTTTGGTTTGTGCTGGGTGGAACCCAGAACTTTCCACATGTTAAGGGTTTACCTCAATCAGAGCTATACCCCAGCCCTTAATCTGCCCCCCAAGTTCCTTGCTCTTAATATTGACATGTTGTGACACCTAATGAGTAATAATAAAATATTCTACACAAAGTGGCTGTCCACCTTACAGCCTGCTTTGTGAAATGGTCTGTCAGCTGACCCGGTCACCCAGGGAGTGTGTGACCTGCCTTGCTTTGGGGGTTCACAGATGCACACTGTCTCAATTGGACTGTAAGATTGCCGACCCTGAGTTCCTAAAGGGACAGGACACAGTGATAGCCGCAGTACAGTTCCAAGTCCCATTCTCTGTGAGCTGGGGAGGGGCGAGCAGCCTGAAGCACCTCACAGGCCTCCCAGTCCGTTCTGGGAGGGACTGTCCCTCTGCTGGGTCTAGAAGGCCCTGGGATGCCCTCTGGGCCCTGCAGGGTTGGCCCCGCATGCTGTCCTGCTCCTCTGGGATGGGCATGTCATCTTTATGCCATGTTGTCCCTGCCTGTACATCCTTCTCTGCTCTGCCTTCTGCCAGACATCACAGACCAGCTCCAGTGCCGTCCACCACCCTGCCCCCTCCGTGTCTCTGAGGGTCCAGTGTCCCTGGCACTGCTCTTGCTATTGGAATTAAGGAGAGAATGAGTCCTGCCTGCGTGTTTCTCACAGTGTCGTCAAGAGACCGTCAAGGAACAAGGAATAAGGACCAAGGAAACATCACTCGGTTCAAGGGTGACAGGTCCCTTGGGGTAGGAAACATATCACTCGGTTCAAGGGTGACGAGTCCCTTGGGGTAACGGGTCAGGGGAGGCCTCTTTGACATGGTGGCATCAGAGTATAGGGATGGGCAAGTGAACACTTGAGAAGAGCCTTCAGGCAAAGGGCACAGCAAGTGTAAAGGGCCTGGGGTGGGGGTGGAAGACGAGGCTGAGAGGGAGGCTGGCCAGGGCACATGGGACTCGGTGGCCATGCTGATGACTTTGGTGTTTAAGTGCGTGGGCAGCAGAGGCTGTAAGCAGGCAGTGCTATCCTTTGTTCCAGGTCTCCGAGGCCCGTGCCATGGGTTCTCTGGAGAGCAGATCCTGGGAGGCTGCCAGGGAGACAGTGGAGAGGCTCAGGCCAGAGGGAGAAAAGGGGTTAGATCTGGGCTCAGTGAAAATCAGGAGGACTTTCAGAGGGTGGATGCAGAGGCCGGCAAGGCGAGGGATGGCCCTAGAACTGCAGCATGCACATCCAGAGGGCGGAGGAGAGGAGGGAAGGAAGAGCCCGGTGGGGTGAAGGCAGGATGGTGTCTGGACATCAACACGGAGCTCAGGGACCACTGGCCAGGGACGTGACTGACAGCCACAGGCAGAAGGCAGGCCCAGGTGAGGAGGAGGAGGAAGAGGAGGCCCGGGCAGGGAGCTGCCAGCTGCCAGGTCAAGAGGAGGAAGACAGAGCGTGGCCTGATCTGGCTATGTGGCGGTCACCTGTGACCTAGACAAGGGCAATCTAGACAGAGATGGGGGCAGAGCCTGACCAGACAGGCTGGAGAGAGAGTGTAAGGAGGGGATGCAGGGACATGCAGGGTGGCCAGGGCAGCCAAGCAGTGGACTGCCAGTGTAACCAGGTCCTAATCCTTGGACTCTGGAAACGTGACCAGACAGGACAAAAGGGACTTTGCAGATGTGGTCAAGTGAGGGTTGCAGAGGTGGGGGGAGGAGCCTGGATGCGGGGGGGGGGGGGGGGGCTGTATGTGGTCACAAGGGTCCTCAGAGGAGGGAGGCAAGGGGGACAGAGAAGAGGACAGGAAGCAGGGGCTAGATGAGGCAGCTGAAGGGTAGGGACAGGCACAGGCCTGGGTCAAGTGGCTTTTAGAAGCTGAAAGAGGCCAGGGATTCCCCCTCCAGCCACCAGGAGGCGCCGGTGCTGAGGACACCCTGACTGCAACCCAGGGAGAGGGCTGTACTTCTGGGGTCCAGAACCCAGAGAAGGAACCTATTCCTTTCAGTCGGGTTGATGAAGTCCCCAGGAACTAACGCAGCCTGGCACCGTGGACAGGCAGCTGGTCTTAGGTCCACTCCTGGGTTAAGCGGGGATGGTGGGGCGCTGACCAGGGACGGCCGAGGGTTCTGCAGTTTACATGGGGAGGCGGGAGGGCGGGGGTCAGGCTGCAGCAGGGGGCTAGTGGGTAACTGGAGAGCCACTTCCCAGGGTGGGGCGAGATCAGTGAGGAAGACACTGCTGTCACGGTCACTGCCCCAGGTTGCAGGTCAGGTCACTGCCCAGCAATTCCCATGTAGAGCCACCAGTCCCTACTCAGGGCTCAATCGCAGCCCAGGGCCAGGCAGGCACAGGGTCAGGTTCAATGGGGGCAGAAACAGGGGGTGGGGTGGGCCAGGGCCACACTGTCAGAGAGCAGGTGGCCACGGAGACAAGACTGCTGGGGACAGCAGCCCTCAGGGAGCGAGTGCCTCTAGACAGATGGGGTGAGCTCGGGGTTCTGAGGGAGGGGCTGCGTCCTAGAGAAGGATGGGGAGGCCCAGCCCCACTGCGGCCAGGGGGTCAGGGCGGAGGGCTGTGGGCGAGGTGGCCCCACCCTGGGAGGCCCCTCGATGGGGCCCAGACATCCTGTTTTCAACTTCATCCTGTCTGGGCTGGGATGCGGCTTAGTGGGGCACTTGCCTGGCACGTGCCAGGCCCCCACACCACACACACACACACACACAAATTAAGCATCTTTCTAATCAGGGCTGAGAGCCATGGATCAGCAAGACAGCCAGGAGCTCAGAGCTGGCCTGTGTCATGGGGCCACTGTGATCTCCACCCAGGGCAGGAAGCAGCCATGGCCCTGACCCTTAGGGCCTAGGAGAAGCCGGCCTCCTGTTTCAGAGAGGCCCTCTTCAGACACGGCTGGGAGAGAGGAAAGTGCTGGTCCCCAGTAGAAGAAAGGTGGCCAGTCCCCACAGAGCAGCAGTAAAAGAAAGGTGACCAGCCCCCACAGAGCAGCGCTCAGCCCGACTCCAGCCTTGGCCCTGGCCCAGCTCATTCCCAGGATGCACCGCTCTGTGTGGGACCTGCTGCCCCTGACCAGGGACCCCCAGTTGCCCAGCTCCCTGTGGGACTGCTGCCCCCAGCTGGGAACCCTCAGGATGGCCAGCTCCCCGTGGGACCTGCTGCTCAGCAAGGGACTCCCCCAGGATGGCCAGCTCCCCATGGGATCTGCTGCCCCCAGCCAGGGACCCCCAAGACGGCCAGCTCTCCTGGGACCTGCCGCCCCAGCAGGGCCTCCTCACCGCAGCACGGCCTCCACACCCAGCAGATGCCGGTAGACGAGCTGGGCCTCCAGGTCATGGTCGAGAGGGTCATTCCACTCCTGCAGGGTCACCCGTGACCGGGTTTTATCACAGCCCCGACCTGGCAGCAGGGGGAGGGCAGAGTTACTAGAGAACCACCAGCCACTGCCCGGTGGTACAGACAGGGAAACAAGGCCCTGGGAGGGACGGGGCTGGACACGGGCAGGGCCTGGTGTGCAGGGCCCAGGCCCTCCAGGTCCCCACCCCTCTGGCTGCCGTGGGCCTGGGCTCCTGAACCACGGGCTGAGTGGCTGGAACTGGGATGCAGGATCCAAGCCAGGGAGCTGTGGCTTCTGGAAGGCCACCTGCCCAGGGGACTAAGATCAAAGTGAGGGGGCCCCAGGCTCTTTGAAAGAGCCAACCCTGCTACCTGCCCACAGTCCCAGCTTCTTCCCTATAAAGTGGGACACTGGGCCCTGCTTCGTGGGCTACTTCACCAATGACAGTGTTGTTGCGATGGTCACAGCCACAGGTCAGGCCAGTCGGGTGGCCACTCATGCCCTACTAGTGAGCCACGGCCCACCCACAGCTCAACTGCAAGCCCAGGGCACGGCTGGCACAGGTGGCCAGGTGGCTGACCTCCTCTGTGCTATGGCCGGGGGCTCCAAATGCTGAGGCCACCGTACGGCAGGAGGGGGTAGGGAGGCCCCTGACGTTCCTGAACCACTCTGTCCACCAGCGGAGCCTCTAGCCCCATGAGACTGTTAATTAAAATTAAATAAAATTTTTTTAAAATTTAAAACCCCGTTCGCTGTCCTCCCTAAACACATTCAGTGCTCAGCATCCGTGTGCTGTGGACACGCACCACTTCCACAGTCACCCAGGGTTCTAGATGCCCAGGGCCCAGTCCCCGCCTCCCCGCAGCTCTGGTATCAGAGCTGTGCCCACTTGGGTGCCCTCTGGCATCAGGAGCAGGGGACTCCTCTTCCTGCTGTGCAAGAAGCCTCTCTGCAAGGGCAGGTCCCCAGGGCTCCCTGTTCCAGGAGTCTGGGAAGTGCTAGGTTAACCGGCTTCCAGGGCAGTTCTGGAGCTCTGAGGTCCCTCGGAGCCTCGACCTGTTCACCTCGTAAGCCACACACATCAGGTGTCCCAAGCCACCTGGTCAAGGAGCCCTCTATTCCCAGAGCACCTGGAGAGCTGGCTTCCCTCGGGTTGATCCCCTCCACAGACACAGAGCAGGGCCCGGGCCCCACCCACCTGTCTTATCCTTCTGGTGGCAGCAGCTCCACTTGTCCCCACGGAAGACGCCAGGGTGGTAGGTGCCCAGCAGGCCACTGTTGTTAACGCTCACCTTCCGCAGCGCAGACAGCCACTGGTTCAGCTCGTTCACACACTGCAGGGACACAGGCCCAGAGTGACCGCTGGCCCAGAGTGACCACAGGCCCAGAGTGACAGCCGCAGGAGGCCCGCCCTCCCCGGAGCTCCTGGGCCACCTGGACACCATGGTTCCCATCTGCCCACAGGCAGCTTGGGGACAATCAGGGAAGGCCAGCCTTCCCCACAGGGTCACAGTCACGCCGGGCACTCTGGAGCTGTGCTCCTGGGTGTTCTGGGACCTGCTAACTGTGCACAGTGGCCCTGTCACCACTTTTTCCCTGTGGCTCTGGACCCTGACCCAAAAGGGAACCCCAGAGGGCAGGGCCTGTGGGATGAGTCTGTGAACCTCCCCTGCGTTGGCCCAGGACTGCTGTCCCAGGAAGAAGCCAGGGCCCCTCACCTCAGACCTCCTGCTTGTTCCCTGTGTCCTCACCCCAGACATAATGTCCCTGCTCAAATGCCACCTCCCTGATGACCCCACATACAGCACAACCGCCCCAGTCTCAGAGTCCCTCAGTCCCCCCTCAGTCCCCCTTCCAGGCTCCATCGCCATGGACATTTAAAATATTCATTTAGTGGTCCACCTCCTCCCCTGGAATAGAAGCGGGAACCTCTTCATCTGCCACAGCATCCCTGCACCCAGAATTGTGCAGAACCTAGGAGATGCTCAATAAATTTTGTAGGTTTTTTTTGGGGGGGGCCAGAGATGAAACCCAAGCCTCACACATGCTCAGCACGCGTTCATCACTGAGCTGCACCCCAGCCCTTTTGTTTGAGTCAGGGTCTCCCCAACTTGCCCAGGTTGGCCTTAAACTTGCGATCATCCTGCCGCAGCCTCCCAAGTTGCTGTGAGAGCAGGGGTGCACAGCTAAGCTCGGTTCCATCAATATTCTTAAGTGAATAATGACTTAATAGGGCCACCCAAGACCCCACCCGAGATGCCCAAGCCAGACATGGGCCATGGTGCCCAAGGACTCAGACCCCAGAACAAGTGCACACCCTCTCTCCCTGCACCCGCCCCGGGGCTGCACCTTGCACTGCAGGTAGGCAGTCTGAGGCCGGCCGGCCTCGTCCGTGTAGATGACCTGCATGACGTGCGAGCTGCTGAAGCTCTTCTCCTCCACCTTCTCGGCTGCCCGGATGTTGGCGAGCTTGATAAGGGTGCTCTTCTAGGACAGGCAGGGGAAGGGGCTGAGGGCCGGGCGGGGCTGCTCCACTTCCTGCCTCTGGACATCAGCCTCCCTTCTGTAATCCCAGGGGTTGGCACGGGGGACCAAGTGACGATCGCTCCTAGGGCCCAGTGAGGTGAGCAACCTCAGCAGGACACAGCACCAAGCCACTGGGAGGGGAGCAGCCTCGTTCCCAGGGATTCCCAGCTGGCCCTGGAGGGTGGAGCTCGGGAACAGCATCTGGACCCAGCATTGCCAGGGCTCTGAGGTCCCACACAGGCTGTGCCTCTGCACTGATCCATGCCCACCTGCTATCCCTGGCTCTCAGTCCTTTCCTGCCCCGCCCTGAAGACACATATATGGGACAGAGAGAAGCTGCAAATCCAGATAACCACATCCCTGAGGGGTCCCCAACCTGCCAACGCCAAATCTCCACTCCCAATCTCTCACCCCAGCTCTGTTTTTTATTTGTTTGAGACAGAATCATACTATACTTCCCAGGCTGACCTCAAACTTGTTGGCCTCAAACTTGGAATCCTTCTGCCTCAGCCTCCCGAGCAGCTGGGATTACAAGCGTGTACCATTGCACCAGGTTTCTCCCTAACTCTTGAGTACCCTCCCATAAAAATTCACTTGAGGAGGGGCTGAAGTTGTGGCTCAGTGGTAGAGCACTTGCCTAGCATGTATGAGGCACTGGGTTGGATTCTCAGCACCACATATGAATAAATAAAATAAAGGTCCATCGACAACTAAAAAAAGTTAAAAAAAAAAAAAAAAAGAATTCACTTGGGCCCCACAATAATGCCTAGCTGAGGTGTCCCCCCTGAGGGGAGGCTGTGGGTAGCAGTCCTGCACAGGGATCCACAGGACACACCCACAGAAAGGCGGAGCTTTATGCCAAGGAGCACAAGTTGGCCCAGACTTGAGGACAGGATAAGGTTTTGTTGAGGATATGGGAACTTCAGGGGGCACCCCAGGGATGGTATCTGCACAGAGCTAAAGAAACTGGCGAGCGGGAGGCCGGGAGACCAGAGGAGACCTGCTCAGAACAGAAGGGTTGGAAAAGTGCTGCAAGCAGGGACAAGACAGGCAGATGCCCAGCATGTGACGAGGACCACAGCGAACGGCAGGTCAGAGGGCAGGTGTGCAGACATCGAGATGCCATTACAGTGGAATATTATTCAGCCCCCAAAATGAATTCTGTCATTTACAGCAACAAGGAAGACACTGTGTTAAGTAAAATAAACCTGGCACGGAAAGAAAACACCGCATGTTCTCTCTTACATATAGGGAAAAAAGAAGCCATTAGAGTGTGTGGGGGGGTGTGCAGAGGAGCCGGATCCGGGCAAATACGGACACCTGCTGCCACAGAAACAGAATGTGGGCTACTGCAGAGGCCACTATGATGGAGCATGCCCCCATCACCTGGGGACCCTCAGGAACAGGCCCTGAGGTTCTGGCCTGGCTCAACCTTGAGCACTGGGTTTATCAGTGTGACCTGAGGAAGAAATGGAGAGGACCTGAGCCAGCTAGAGCCACGGGCAGAATTAAACAGGACCAAGCTTATGAAGGAAAAAATATTAAGCCCCGCTCTTCAGTTTTTCTTTCCTGAAAAAAAAAATTACCCGAGTCTCAGAAGGTTGAGTTTGAGTCTATTGTGAGACATAAAAATAACAAAAGAGCCAAAGCAATACTAGTAGAGGTATGAGAACCAGAATCAGGGAGGGGATTATCCAGTCTGCTCTTCAGTATTCAGTTAACAACTGTGTGCACAGTTCCAAATGCCACAGTCCAAGAGGGAACTTGGCAATGAAGTATGCAAGATATGGAAAATGGGAAGAAAGCTCAGGGGTGCTGGGATTCCAGAGACCACACTTTGGTTTACACTCTCTGCTACATTAAGGCAGAGTCGTCGAGCCAAGACCAGAGAAGAAAGCAGACTTCAGCTCAAGGTAAGCAACTTTCCAACAGCTGCCAAGACAGAGAAGGCTACATTTACTACAGTGAGCTCCCTGTCATCATCTCTGGTGCCAAAGTCTTTTGGGTATGCTGGTGGGGTGACCCGTGACCCACACGGGGTTGGATGAGACACTCTTCGAGATCCCTCCCAGAACTGAGATGTGGCAATTCTACACCCCTGCCTCTTCCAGGGAGCTGTTCCTGATTGTCCCAGCCTTCCTCTCTAGCAGTCTTTGTAAGCCCAGCCACCATGTGGAATCTGGCTTGCTCCTGCTTCAAACACGTCCCCAGAACTCCAGAGCATCTGTACCACTGGTGACCATGCAGTCAGCAGCATCGTGGGGAGGACAAGGGTGCAGGGAGACAGACGTATGCCACACCTGATCATGTGGCTTCAAACAAGTCCCTCTGTGCTTCTGAACCCAGGTTTCGGTAACTGGGAGTAACACTGGCAATCTGGCCGGGTTGGAGAGGAAGACTAGGGAGGTGTGGGATGACAGGGCTGACCACAGCGAGCACCTCCCAGAGCGGTCACCATGAGGGCCGTGAGGGCTTCTCACTACTGCTGATCCCTCAGGGAGAGGTGGCTTCCCCAGGAGGCAGTCAAGGGGAAGCCCTATGCAGGGCAGAAATGACACCTCCTGTGGCCTCAAATGTCTCATCGAGCCACCTAACTGTCAAAGGCTGATAATTGACACAAATGGGGACCAGAACGAAATAATGCCTACGAGGCAGGATCTTTCAATTCTGGAAGTCAAGAATCATTATGGTAATCTGGGGGTCTTTGGTAGGAGAGATGCTGGGCTCCTCAGTCAATTCCTTGAGAGCAGCAGGTGATCATTTCCTTCACCTGCCCCAGGCACACCCACCTGCTCAGGGCTGGGTATGGCACCCCCGCTGGGGTTAGGTGAGCCATCAAGGGGTCAACAAATCCATTAGAAAAGCATGCTCTCAGCCCTTCTTGGGAGGAGGTTAGGACCCTTGGAAACACTGTCTCCTTAAATCTCAGCAAGCTGGCAAGTAGGCACGATTATCCCAAATTTACAGGCTGAGACACCAAGAATCAGAGAGGTGACACTTCTCCTATGTACACAGGCTAAGCAGGGCTGGATGCCAGAACTTCATGCCTCCCCCGGCTCCTCTCAGAACCTTTAGTTCCTCTCTGCTTTCCCAGAAACACCCCTGGAGCCCCCCAACCCAACCCAGTGCACCTGACCCGGCAGCCAGGGATGAACCCGCAGCCGCTGCAGCTGCCTCGTGCCTGGGGGCAGAAGCCTCCATCCTCCTCCGCCTTGACTACCTGAAGCCCAGACACCAGATGCCCAGCTAGCCTGGCTTCCTTCTCCAGGGCAGGTGGTCCCTGGGGTGGGCCAGGGACGGGCACAGGTGCCTCTTGTCTTCTAATTCCTCGCCAGCCTCCCTCCTTACCCACCTTGGAGCTGGGCGTCTTGGCGAAGCTGAGGGCTTCGGTGGTGAGGGAGAAGTGGAGTTTCTTGAAAGAGGAGGACGTGAGGGGGCCCTTGCCCTTGGTCCTGTGGATGAAGAGCGTCCCCTCCTTCACAGGCGGTGCCTGCAAGCTCAGGGTTCGCTGCAGGTCCAGCTCTGCAGCCGGGGAGTAGGGCGGAGCAAACATGAACACGAGGCTGTGGGCGGGGCCACGGGCGGGGCGGGGCGGGGGCAGAACAGCAGCAGGCGGTGCTACGAGAGATACCAGCCACCATGGGCGGGGCCTTGGCCCCGGGGCGGAGCAAACGAAAGCGGTAGGTGGGGCCACGAGGCACAGGCAACCGTGGGTGGAGCCACTGGCCTGGAGGCTCTGGCGGGGCACAGAGAGCGGAGGCCACACGCAGAGCAGGACTCACCCTCCTTCTCCTCTATGTCCACAAGCTTGGTGATAAAGTCCTTCAGCTGCGCCACACCCTGGCGCACGGTGGGCTGTAGCGGCTCCATCCAAGCTTCTTTGGCCCTGGAAACTGGCGAGTCCATGTTGCCCACGTTCTGGACCGCCTGGGGGGTGACAGCAGGAAGGACCAGGCTTCGCGGGGCAGGGACCTGACCACTGTTCCCCACCCAGGTCAGGCTGTAGAGGCAGAAACAGCAGAAACCCTGCCCATGGGCCCACCCTCGCCCTACAGGGGATCAGGGGTGAATGGATCATGGTTTGGAACCTGATAATTAAGACCATGGAGCCCAACCTATTGGCCTTCAGGCTTAATATCAGACTGCTGCACTTGGTGGACAGACAGGTGCAGCCTGGGGGTAAGTAGACTGGGTTGAAAGGCCTGATTCACCTGACAGGCCTCGGGTTTCCTCTGTCCCTCAGCAAGTCATTCCCTTATCTGTGATATGGGGCTCAGTGGGGATGACCACGAGAAAGCCTTGTAAAGCCCAGTTCCATGAATGTATCAGGGCCAGTGGGGGACGCACTGTGGTCCAGGCCAGTGCCCCTATGCTGTATTCAACCAGCCATCCCGCCTCTGTCCACAGGCCCGCACCTTGGCCAGCAGGAGCAGCGTGCGGCTGGTGCGGGCGTCCGCGTGCCGCTCCCGCAGGTGAAAGAGCTTGGGCGACATGATGGCAGGAGAGAAGAAGCGCAGGCACAGGAAGCTGGTGACTGCGATGAACGGCACGTTCTGGAGAGGTTTGGAGAGTGGGGGCTGGATTCCCCCTGCCCGGGCTCCCGACAGTCCGCTCCCTTTGGCCCCGCCCCCGCCCCGCCTTCGGCCCCACCCCTGCTCCGCCTCCGCACCGGTTTCTTCCCCACCCGGTCAGCTCTGACCCAGTCCTGCCGGCAGGGGGCGCACCTCGTACTGGGCGCTGGGAAAGCGCTCGCGCACGCGCCGGAAGAGCTGGCGGAAGGTGGCGCGGATCACCGCTGGACAGGCGCGAACGGAGCGGCAGAGCGCGCTCAGCAGCGCCCCTAGGTGGGCGCGCAGCGTCTGTGCGCTCTGCTCCAGCACCCCGGCCTCCGTCTGCGGGCGGTGCAGCCCTGAGCACCTGCGAGGGCCGGGGCAGGTGGACAAGACCGCCGCGGTCAGCGCCCGCACACGGACAGAGAACACACAGATGGGCAGAGCAGCATCCCGTAGGCCCAGGCAGAAAGAGCCGTAAACACACACTTGCAGAAAGGCAGATTCCCCACCGCTGCGCCCCCAGGGATTCCCACCAGCCTCACCCTACATCCTTAACTTCCACTTTGCTGGGGTCGAGCTCCACGTACTTCTTCTCTTCAAACACTCTGTCAATGATGGGGCCCAGGACGCCGTGCAGATACCGCATCCCTGCCACCTGGGGGCCACCACGAGCCGCACTGGTCAAGACTCCCCTGTCCAGCTGCCCACTATCTCCCCAGCCACTCCGTGCACCATTTGCCCACAGTATCCACCCAGGATGGGGCCAGGTGCACAACCAGGTGACTCAACACACTGCTTCTCATAAATGAGTGAATGGAACTCTTATGCTTTTGAGGGCACAGAGATAAAACTGGCCTTTCTGAACCTTTGTGTCATGTCACCCACAAGATGAGGATGGTATACCAGGTAGCCTCACCTTCAGAAAAGATTCCATGGACTTTGAGGCCAGAGAGTTGCTTCGGAACAGCGTGTTGGCCTCACCTACAAGCAGAGGTCCCAATGGGCAGAGGGCTGGAACAAGGCTTGGGGGGAGGAGGAGAACAGAGGACCTGGTGGCTCCTGGCCACCTCCCAACCCTGTGCCACCTCTGCTCTCGCCCTCTCCACTGGACCCATCAGCCTGCTAAGAAGGAACCCCTCCCCTGTCCAGTGTCAGCTCCTCCCGGGCCTCACTGGTTCGCCCCAGCTCCAGCTGGAAGAGCAGGTCCAGAAAGTCCTTGGCCAGCCCCTGCCCCAGGAAGAGCTTGAGCAGGTTGGTGGCCACCTCCTGGCGACGGTCTGTGCTCGTTGTCTCCTCGATGATGGTGATCAACTGTCCTGGGCCCTGCAGCAGGCAGCAGGGGAGGAAGGGCTGGGAGACCCCCAGGGAGCCCAAACCCTCCACTCGAGGACCTCAGAGCATCATGGCAAGGGTGGCTGGGCCCTGGACACTGGCCAGCCCCATGCCGCTGCTCTGCAGGATGGGTTTAGGACAGGCAGGGCAGGTCCACTGGCCCTGGGCCCGCCCACCTTCCCCCAGGGCCCCCTCACCTGGGTGCCCAGCTTCACCTCCCGGCACAGCAGCTGCACCAGGGGCTGGTAGCAGCGCGAGGGCAGCACCACCTCGTCCCGCAGCCGCACCTCCAGCTGCAAGGAGCCCAGGCTGCCCCTGGAATGGGTGGCCTGTGACCTCTCCACCAGGGAGGCAGGCCACCCTGGGCAGCAGCCCCCCACCCCGTGCACCCCCCCCAGCCCCACCTGGGGACTTGCCTCCTCAGGACAACCTCACAGTCTCTCTGCCCTGCCCTGCAGTTGCCCTGCCCCTGGCTCTGTCTGCCCTTCTCTCCCCAAAGCCCCTCCTGCCTCAGTTCTCAGGGACTCCATCCTTCCTCAAGGCTAGCACCCTGCTGCCTCAGACTCCTGCAGCCCCCAGGCTTGGCTCAAGTGGGCACACCAGCCTCCTCGACCTCGAATATGTAAACTCCCCGGTGGGGCTGGGGGCAGCTCAATGGCAGAGCACTTGCCCAGCATGCACAAGACCCTGCGTTCCATCCCCAGGATCACAAGAAACTCCCAGAACAGCACCTTCTCTCTCTCTCTCTCTCTCTCTCTCTCTCTTTCTCTCTCTCTCTCTTACACACACACACACCCACACACTCCTTATCCCAGAAGCAAATCCCCAGGCCCCACGACAACCTGCCAGGGAAACTGAGGCTCAGGCAGCTTAAGCAAGTTGGCACAGGAAATCTGACCTCTAAGCATCTTTGCTCCGACCCTCCTGGTGAGGGCACCCAACGAGGCTTAACCTTCTCCATGTCCCCCCGCACACAGCCCGGGAGGTCAGTAGGCTGCGCTGGCCAGAATACACCCCGCACCCGGCAGAAGCTGTCAGAGGAGACCCTGGGCCCGTTCTTTGGAAATGCTTTGGGCTGGACACACACCCGGCCACCTGCTCCTTCCTGTTAAGGGTATGCATGGAGGGGGGCATGGGGGAACTTCTGCAGGGTGACAAGGCAGAACCAGCCAAGGGGTGCAAGTAGGCCAAAGGACTTCCTGGGCAGGGACGCCAGATTTAACAAAATAGCAACACAAGACAGTTAAGTTTGGAATACCCCATGGTCATTCCTGCATCATCTGGAATTCAGTTTGCCGGGGTGTCCTGTCTTCTCTCTGGCACCCTGTCCCTGGAGAAGCTTGGGGAGGGGCTTAAGGCTTATGGCTCTGAGAGACTGACTCTAGGACTTGCACCCTGGTCTGAGGCCTGCAGAGAAGCCCTTAAAAGGAAAGCGTCTGAGGGCTTGTTCTAGAAACTGCCAGAGGCAGGACGGCTGTGTAACCCCGAGCTCGGCGCAGGACAGTGGGACAGGACAGGCGGTGGGTCCTGCTGGCTGGCAAGGACTGAAGGAAGCCTTGGCTGAGCCCCCTGCCCTTCTCCTGCCTGGTGGCCAGCAGCCAGCCCTCAAATCTCAGACCCGCCCCACTCACCCGCCTCGCTGGCTCTTAGACTGGTCGGGCTGCAGCCGGAACCAGCCTTCCTCTTGCTGGGCAGCATACAGCCTCTGCATGTTGACCACCACCTGGGGGCAGGACAGGCGGGGGCTGGGACACTCAGGCCCCTCCCTCCCAGGTACTGTTCTCTTGGGGGAAGGGCACCTTCCAAGGGCGCCTGAGCACCAGCCGCAGTGGGTGGGGGAGCTGCTGGTCCTGGGCTTCCTGGGCGCTCCTCTCTGGAGAAACTGAGGCAGGTCCCTGAGGGTGGGATGGTGGGAATGGGCGCCGGGTGCTGTCTGGGGTGTGTGTGCGTGTGCTTGCGTGGGGAATGGAGGGGTGTTACCTTGCCCAGGAAGTCATTTCGGCTGACGAGGTCCCAGTCCCAGGCCTCAATGCACAGAGCCTCCGCAGCCCCCTCCTCCAGCTCAAATTCAAATGTCTCGTTCCATCTAGGGTAGCAGGATTTCTTCACAACCTGTTCAGAAAGGGGCAGGGGTGGGGCTCCCTCGACAGGGCTTCCGAGGCCCAGCCAAGGGCAGAGTTGCCCTGGACACTGTCCCTGGCTCTGCAGTAGCAGAGGTGAAAACTTCCTGTCCAAAGCCAAGCACAGTGGTGAGACACCTGTAATCCCAGTGACTCAGGAGGCTGAGGCAGGAGGATTACAAGTTTGAGACTAGCCTCAGCAACTTAGTGAAACCCTACCTCAAAATAAAGAAATAAATAAAAAGAGAACATGGCTCAGTGGTAAAGTACCCCCGGGGTTAATTCCAAGTACAAAAACAACAACAAAAAGCAACCTTCTGGGCTGGGATTGTGGCTCAGTGGTAGAGTGCTTGCCTAGCAGGCATGAGGCGCTGGGTTCAATTCTTAGCACCGCATATAAATAAACAAAAGATCCATCAACAACTAAAAAAAATTAAACAAAAAACAACCTTCCTGTCCAAGACCACCCATTTCACAGATGGGGAAATAGAGGCCCAGAGTAGCAAACAGAATTGTCCAAGGCCACACAGCAAAACAGAAATGGCACTGAGAACCTGTATCACCCTCCCCCAGGTCTGTGCCCACTACCCTACCATCTCCTGGAGGTGACAAAAGGAGGATGGGAAGCTGTGGCACTTCTAAGAGCACCCTCACTGTGCTGTCTTGACCGACTCTCCGCCCTCTCCAGCATGGCCAGGCATGAAAGGAGCTGGCAACAGAAGGGCTGGGACCTGTTCTGTCGCCTCAGAGGGGATGCCCCACGTCCCTGAGCCTCATCTGGAAACTCCAGTTCCAACCTGGCTTCTCAGATGGTGGAGAGGGGGCGGGTGGTGAGGGCAGGGCTGGTGGGGGAAGAGTCCCTGGGCCTCCCCGGCCCTCCCCAGCCCACCAGCCTCCTCACCGAGGTCTCCTGTGTCCGGCCGTTGTAGTGCACTCGGACAAAAGGGTCAGATGCGCCATTCCGGTCCTTTGGGGCTAGGTCCCTGATGGTGGGATAGGGACAGTGGATCACCCACCTGTCACCTGGGTCTGCTGCCCCAGCTTGTCATCGCCTCGAGGTAAACACACCAGGCTGGAAAGGCTTGGGCTCATCCTGTCCCTGGCAAGCCGGCTGTGGACAGCACCTGTCCCCTTTCTGAGCTCCTCTTCCCACAGCGGTCACCCCCTGTTCCCCACATGGCCAAAAATGTCCCATGGTGGAGGCCACGGCTCCCTCTGACTGGGCGGCCACAGGCCAGCTGCTGCACCTGACTCTGGGGTGGGGTGGGGGGAGTGAAGCCAGGTCAGGCCCCACCCACTGTTCCCTGGGCAGTCCTGGGCAGGGGCCCCCTCTGAGCCTGTTTCCTCATTAGTAAAATGGAGAGGATGAGACCTGCCCCACTGAGGCCTGCCGACGGCCCCCTGCTTGAGGTGGGCGAGGTGCAGGCCCCGTCAATCACCCTTTCCTCTCTCCATAGACGGATCTTTACAAAGCCCAAATCTGGCCCTGGCGCCCCTAGTGGAAGAACAGAGTCCACCCTTCTTCTATCTGCTGTATGTTTTAGTTTGAAGCCTCTTAAAACTGTCTAAGGAGCTGGGGACGGTGGTGCACACCTGTAATCCCAAAGGCTTGGGAGGCTGAAGCAGAAGGATCTCAAGTTCAAAGTCAACCTCAGCAACTTAGCGAGGTTGATTTTAGGCCCTGAGCAACTTAGTAAGACCCTGTCTCTAAAAAAAAAAAAAAAAAAAAAAAAGCCTAAGGGGCTGGGGTACGTGCAGCTCAGGGTACAGCGCTTGCCCAGCCTGCTAGAGGCCCCAAGCTCCATCTCCAGAACTGCAAAAATGGAAAACACAGCTCTAGTAGAACCCCGAGGTTTGGCCTTGAGATTCTGCCCAGAGCAAGGAGAAAATGTTCTGTTTCCCTGAGCTGCAAACCAGCCTTCTCACGCTGCTGCCTCGGGACTCCATGAGACTCACTGAGGATAGCAGGGAACAGGTCCCCCGCCCCTGGCTCTCAAAGGGGCTGGGACCACCACTCCCCCTACCAGGACTTGCTAGGAAGCAGCGACACGGAGCCAGCCACTGGGTCCCCCACAATCTCCGAGAGGAGAGGGCTGAGAGAGGTGGTTTTGGAGAGAGGGTGGGCCGGGGAGAAGGGCTTTGTGATTCCCATTCCCAGGGATAGGGACTGGAGCCAGGGACAGCAGCCTGGGATTCCAGGGCTCGCAGCGTGTGCGTGCACACACATGTGGGCACCAGTGCCCCAGACAATCTGGTGCCAGGCAAGGCTGGGAACGGAGGAAGTGGGTGGGCAGGGGCCGGCGGGTGGGGAGGGAATGGGAGAGCATGGGGGTGGCTCTGCCCGAGTCCAGCCATGTCCACTGCCCCAGCCCTGGGGCCAAAAATAATGCAGGGGAAACCACAGGATGCCTGAGGTGTCCGTCACCCAACCCCCCTCCCTGCAGGAGAGACATTTTCCTGGGGTGGGGGACCCTCATTCAGGATGCTAGCTAGGCTGCCCACTGGCCCAGGGACAGGGGGACTCCAAGGAGAGGGTTTGGAGCCAGAGGGGAAGCCGCTACTCAAGGACCATGTGTGACTCACACCGGCCCCAGACAGGAGTGGGGCCTGCAGCTAAAAATACCGTGGGGGCGGGGGGGGGGTGGCCCTGCCACAGGTGACTCAGGCCCACAGCCATCCAAGCCACTGTCCCTCCTGGAGACGAGCGTCCCTACCCCAGCACACACACCCCATGTGGAGATCCTCAGCAACTCCCTCCTGCAGGACCCAGGACCTGCACCTGCACACTGACCAGGCCAAGTTCATGCTGGGGTCAACCAGGGGCAGCCCAGCCTCAGCGCTGGAGCATCGTCCCCGGCACCCCCATCCCTGCTCCAGGGTGCCCGGAGCTCCCTGTCAGAACACTATCCCTTCCCTGAAGGGCCACGCCCCGGGGTGGAGGTCACCCAGGTGACATCTTTGAGTCAGGAAAGCAGCCCCAGAGCCTCTTAACAGCAAGCTCTGGCGGGAGGCGGCCTTGGGACCCAGGCATGGAGCAGGGGAGGCGGCCCGCCCTCCACAGTGGGCCCAGTGTCCCAGGCCCTGTCCCCCTTCCCCACACCTCACCTGGCCTCCAGCACAGAGCAGCGCAGCCGACGGGCCGGGGTCCCGGGCACCACCTCCAGCCGCAGGTGGATCTCGCCCTGCACCTCCTCGTCAGGGTCGACCTCGGTCAGGTGGGCCCACCCGGTGAAACCTGAGGGGCTGAGGCTCAGCCAGGGGTCTGGCCCGTCCCTCCACCCTCACCTCAGCCTCCAGGGTCCCCTGGGAACCTCTCAGACACCTGTGAGGGACACAGCTGTCCCAGGACAGCTGGAGAAACTGAGGCCCACACACTGAACAGCAGCAGCTAGGATGGGAACCTCGGTGGGCGACCTGGGGCCTTCGGACTCACTCTGCTGCCATCAGCACTGGGGGGTCCTGGCCCTGACTGGTCAGGGGCTGCCTTTCGGTCCTCACTTTCCCCACCTTAAAATAGGAGGCAGAAGCTCCTCTAGGGCTGCTGGGGGGATCTGAAGCACAGGCAGAGAAGTGACAAGGGTCCCCAAGAACAGCATCACTGGGCACGTGGACCCCAGAGGGGCTGCTGGGGCTGCAGCAGAGGCAGCCTCTGGCCTGGCAGGTCACAAGGCTCCATGAGTCAGCAGAGCCGGCTGCCCCCACAGGCCTGCCCGCCCCAGGCTCACAGACAGGAGCAGGTGTGTATGGGGAAGCCAGCAAGGGGGTCACAGGGACTCAGGCACCCAGGAACTCCTCCTAGTTTGAATCCTCACATAAGCCCAGAGAAGGCAAGACCTGCCCACGGTCACACAGCAAGGCTGGGGCAGGGCTGACACCTGGAAACAAGGTCTGCATCCCAGAATAATCCAAGGGGTTCTCCAGCCTGGATCAGCTGAAGGCCAACCTCCCCAGGCTTGGGGCAGACTGCAGACGGAGGGGACCCCATGACGGGAGAAGCTGGCTCAACCGAGGAAGGCTCTGTTCACCTCGGCAGCAGAGTATCAGGAGTCCCTTCCTCTGCCTGCACGGGCCTCAGGTCCCACCACTGGCAGCCCCTCTTTGCCCTAGGGGAGGTTCTGTCCCAACCTGGGGCCCAGGACATAGAGCCAGGGGTGCAAAGGACGGCCAGAAGCCCAGGCTTCAGAGAAGGATGGCAATGACTCTCCCTGAGCTGGGGACGTGTGGGAGCCCCCAGGGAAACCTCGCAGTGGGCAGGAGGCCAGGGCTGGGCAAACCAGTGGAGGCAGGGTTGGGGGACGGGGAGGCAGGAGCCAGCGGGACTCCCTCTCTGGATCTTACCCTTCGGGAGGGAGGCCAGGGTGTCCCTTGTGAGGCAGACCTTGCCGATGACGTCGTCCCGGCTACAGGGGGAGATGGAGTCAAAGCCAGGCAGGGCCGTGGTACCTACTCCCTGGGGGCCCAGAACCCCACCCCACAATTTCAGGGCCCTGGGGGAGTAGTGAGCTTGGGCCAGTGGAGCTGGACCTGACCCGGATCCCGGGCATTCTCCCGGGCACATGATGCCCCTGCCTGTGGACACCAAGTACACCCACGGAGGTGCCTACCCGTGGCCCAGGCCCGTTCCACCGTCACACCCGCTGCTCACTGTGCTCACCTGCACACACGCACACGCACAGGCCCTGCCTCCTCTCAGGCCCACAGTGGCCACCTGCCAGCCCAGCTTCAGAGCCAGACACACCCACCTGAGTGCGTCCTCGTCCAGGACATAGAAGGCCACGGCGTGGAAGGTGGGCGGCAAGTGCACTTGATACTCCTCGCCCCAGAAGGGGCACAGGGTCTTCCACACAGTGGCTGTCCTGCAGGAGAGGACCCTCAGCACTTCCCAGGCCACCTCCCGCTCGGGGCAAGGGCAAGGCAGGGCCGTGTGAGTCGTGCCGCCCTCTTCACAAATTCTCCCACCCCAGGTAACACAGGCTGTGTTGGACGTGTCCCCCTCTCAGCTCCCACTGTCCACCACCAGTCTGTACTCCCTACCTTCCTCTCTGTCCTGGATGGGACCCAGGACATTTATGTATGGGACTAGTCCCACAGTTGGGAGCAGACGGCCTCAAGTCACATAGCAGGAAGCCTGGCTGGGCACTGTGGTGCACACTATGATCCCAGTGACTCAGGAGGCTGAGGCAGGAGGATTGCAAGTTTAAGGCCAGCCTCAGCAACTTAGCAAGGCTCTAAGTAACTTAGTGAGACCCTGTCTCAAAACAAAAACCAATGAGGGCTGGGGATGTGACTCGGTAAAGTGGCCCTGGGTTCAATTCCCAGTGCCAAAATAAAAAAAAAAGTGTGGTGGGGGCTAAAAACCTAGCCTCCAGCCTCACCCAGCTCTGGCCGAACCTCTAAGATCAGCGCCTTCAGCTCCTGGGACTCAGCAGGGCATATGACTGAGAGGCCTGGATGGAGGCTGGGGTCACCCCCTCCCAGGCTGACCACTTCTCAAACCCTGTGGACTCTGGGGCCTTGGTTTTCCTGTCTCTGCTGAGACCATCAGAACTGCCACGCCCCTGTCCCTGCTTTCCATCCATGGCCTGGAGAAAGGCTGGGCCACTACTTGCAGGTGGGGAGGAGCTGTGAGTTGGTGGCCTTGGCTGGGGTCAGCAGTGGCCACTCCAGTGTGCAGAATAGGGAAGCCGCTCTGGCCACAAGCTTAGAGGCAGGAGCCTGGGTGAAGGAGGGGATGGACGGCAAAGACCCAGCAGACAGGCAGGACATCGAGGAGACCCGGTCCTTCTGGGCCCAGAGGGAGGCAGGCCTCACTGGGGGACAATCACAGGAAGGAAGGGCCCAAAGTCAGAGCGAGGATGGGGCAGGGGGGAGGGGAGGGCTCAGCTCCAGTCTTCCAGACTTGAGACCTTGTCAGGCTGTGCCACGTAGGTACTGAGGGGTGTGACCTCGGGACAGTCACCCAGCCTGAGCCTCAGTGGCCTTATCTGGGTGGGGCCTAATGACTGTGATGCACTGAGAGCTAGCAAAGGCTTGGCTCCAGGCCAGGGAGAGAAGTGCACTCTAAGTGACAGCACTGTGACTCTGCATCGTGATCCCTCTCTTGGGGACTGTGAAGACTGCAAAGACCAACAGGCGGTCCAGGCCCTGGGTGGGGCACCCAGAGGGCCACAGAGACCAGCACGAGGGTCAGGCATCAGCCAGGCCAGCTACAGGGGAGTCTTACAGTCTTGTCTTTTTCTTTTTCTTTTGTGTCTCTCTTCTCTTTGTGGCCCTGGGGATGAAACCCAGGGCTCCACGCATCCTGAGCAAGCGCTTTACCATGTGCCACACCCCCAGCCCACAGGTGGCTCTTCTCAACTTCCAGCTGATGTGTCAGGACACAGGCGGGTTGGGGACTCCAGAGCTGGACCTTTCTGGGAGGAGCAGGTGGCTGAAGAGGGAGCTCAGGGGCCCTCAGGATCTGGGCAGGGTTGTACCTGATGATGGGCTCATTGTCCACCTTGACGATGCAATAGGGGTCGCTGCTGCCATTGCTGTAGGAAAGACGGACAAGGGGCAGAGCTGGTGGGCGGGACCTCCTGGGCAGCCCCTCCCTCTGCCAGCGACCCTGGGGGACCCCTGAGGAAGACAGTGCCAGTGAAGGCAGAGGCATGGCACCTGGGCTGGAGACTAAAGGCTCCTCAGGCCAGAACATGCGCCCACCCTCGCCTGGGAGAGGTGGTGGGGGAAGGCAGGGCCCCGGGAGGCTCCTTCCTACCCACCTCCACCTCGCCCCACACAGTGTCCAGGCAACAGCCCGCCCACGCCAGCATCCCAGCACTCAACATGAAAGTCTTGCCCCTTACTCTCCCCTCTGAGCCTTTGCTGCTACTGACCCTGCTGCTGGGACTGTCCCCAGGCCCCTCCTCAGCCTCAGAGACAGCAAGGGCTCCCCCCGAGTTCTGCCACCACCTCCACTGTCTCCTCCCAGCCCTGGGAGTGAGGCCTTCCGGCCTCCCCCACATGCCAGAGCTACCTGAGGATGGGGACTACTTCTGTGTCACAGGGCCCAGGACAGGGCTTGGCGCAAGACAGGGCCTCCCCAGGGGTTCACTGACTGAATGAATAAAGGAGGGAAGGAATAAGGGAACGGTTCCCCAGCCCTATTTGGGTCCCCCAGTCTCAGATGGGTGGGGGGTTTGTAGGGTTGAGAGGGGCCTCCAGCCAGCCCAGGGTGCTTACTGGGCAAAAAGGAGGAAGGTGCCCACTGTCTAGAACTGTCCCTCAGCCTGGCCTCCACAAAAAGGAAGTACATTTATATAAAATCCCGCTGCCACTCGCCAGTTCTCTAAAGGAGTTCTTCCGGCAGAGGACTCCCCGGGGCAGCAGCTCCAAAGGCCCTCATGACCTAGGAAATATCCACCAAGCCTGATTTGTAAAGAATGAACTGCCAACCCAGCACAGTGACCTCCCCTACGCCTTCACCCAACAGCCCCTCCTGGGTGTGTGACCCCAGCTTGCATCTTGCCAGCCCAAAGCTGGGCAGCTCCAGGCCTCAGCCAGGCCCCCGCGTGCCCCTGGGCTGGGCTGGGCTGCAGGCCCCAGAACCACACTCAGAAGCAGCAGGCGGAGGTCAGTTCAGGCTGAAGCCTAAGGGGACCTCTTTGGGCTGTGTCCCATGGGATAGTGTCCCCTCTGTTCTGCTACTGCCTGCTGACCTCAAGGCCCCTCAGGGCAGGGGACCACTTGCTCCACTCAGCTCCCACTCTGAATGGATGCAGGGAGAACGCTGAGGCTGGCAGGCAGGGTGGCTGGAGTGGGCACAGGCTTGGGGGCAGGGGCAGAACATGCACAGGACAGTGCTGACTCAACAACTGGACCAGAGGGGTGGGAGGGGACAGTGTCAAGAGTAGGCTGAGGCCAGGTGTAAGGACCTGGGCCCAACTGCATTGCCTGATGAATTCTTGGTGAATCCTGCCCACGTCCTCCAACTTAGTGAGACCCCTGGGCTGTACCCTCTCCCACTTCTCCTTGCCCCAGCCCATGTCCACTGGCCCCGTCTGGCTCCTTGTGGGCCTCTATATTTAGGGCCTTGGCAGTTTCTAGGCTGGGGAAGAGGAAAGAGAGGGCAAACCCCAAAATAGCCCTGGGCCTGTCCCCAGGGCCACTGGGTGTGGGAACCACTGGGTCACTGGTCACTGTGGGACCCAGCTCCTGCCCACTGACCTAGGTACCGGGGATGGGAGCCAGCGGGGAGCATGGCTTTTTCAGAGCAGACAGGTTCTGAAAGCTGCTGGTGGTGGAGGCAGCTGTGTTCTGGGCCTGTGAGGTAGAAACTCAGGAAAGGCAGTGGCAGGAGGAAGGGGCAGCTGTGCAAGGAGGGGGTCCCTCTCATACAGGCTATAGCCAAGATGGCCACCAGGGAGGTGGTGAGCTCCCCATCCTCAGAGGTATGCAACCCTGGCTGGCCGGGATGCGGCTCAGGAGATAGGCCCAGGGCTGGTGAGACACTGCAGGCCACCTGCTGCCTCAAGTGCTCGCAGAGGCCTCCCAGGATCTCCAAGCCCCTGGGAGCCCTGTAGCCAATGCGCTGCCTGGGATCTTGAGGCTCAGGCCCCAAAACCCCTGCAACCTTGGTCGGGAGAGGGTGCTTGGCCAGTCAGCAGTGGACAGAGTGGCTCACTTCTCTGCTGTGGGACCTGAACCTCAGCTTCCTCATCAGCCAATTCTGGAAATGTAGCTCACGGGGTTCATGAAGGCCTATGGGAAGGTCCCTGACTCTCCTCTCCCACTGACCAGGTCCCTCCGGCCACTCACAGTGCCAGGAGGAATGAGTCACAGTGTCTGCCCTCATAGTTGGAGGGGACAGGCAGCCCCTGAAGGGGTGGCTGCCACACCAAGGGCTGGGCCATGAACCTTGCCTGGGGCACCAGGGAAAGCCCTGGGGAGGAGTTTGAGAAGAGACCTGAAAGACCAGCAGGAGCTGTCTGCAGGGCTCCGAAGGCCACTCAGGAAAGCAGAAAACCCCAACATCAGAGGCAGGGCTTCGAAGGGCGGGGCCCACAGGCGCGGGGTGGAGTTTATGAGATGGCTCAGACCTGGGTGTAAGTTGACAGGTTAGAGCTGTGTACACCAGCCACCTTGGGGAAGGCAGGGAAGAGATGGTGAGGGGTGACAGGAGAGGTGAGGGACAGGGACGGGGAACTGGGTGAGGAAGGATTCTGGAGGCAGAACCAACAGGATGTGGACATCCTTTGCCCAGAGTCCCTAGCTGTGCAGGGGACAGGGAACACCAAATTTGGCCTGCCAGGTGGGCACAGCCCAAGGGCTTCATGGCTCTGGACTGCTGAGAACCCAGAGCTTGGCACTAGGGCCAGCTGCTGGGTTGGGAGGGAGGCGACAGACGGAGGGACTGCTCCTTCCAGCCACCACCAACCAGAAGCAGCCAAGATGACCTAGTTATCAGTGCCAGGGTGGGGGGTGCTTGAAGGTGGGGCCTGGGGGCTGACACCCTTCTAGAGACCCATCTCACAGCTGGTCGGCCTTCCACCCCAACAGACCTCATTCCTAGCCCCCGACAGCCTCCTCCTATTCACAGAAACCCACCTCAAATCGCCCACCCCTCCCTCCCCATTGCCATGGCAACTGCTGAGCTCGGCCTCCTCAGGCCCAGGGGGCCTTGAACTGGAACCGCTCCCAGCGCTGAGCGTGCTGGGAAGCTTACCCGGGCCACTGTTTGTGTGTGCCAGAGAGATGCCCTGGCTCCCCGCTTCCCGCTGCAGGCTCGCCACTTCTCTGCATCCGGGAGCCTGCTGAGGAACCCCAGGGGCAGGAAAGGTCCAGCCCAGCAGACTTTGGACCCTGGGCCTCCTCTGGGATCCCCTTCCCTCCCTCCCTCTTCTTCCAAGCAGCCAGTGCCCCTCCAGCTCTGTGCTTTGCACCTCTCCTCCGGGGGATCGGGCAATCGCAGAGTCCTGAGACAGAAGAGGAAAGGGAGGCTTCCCGAGCAAGGAACTGCCTTCCGCGGCACAGAGGAAACCCCGGGCAGAGCTGAGATGGGGAGCCAGGGGTCCCACAGCTCAGCCTTGGGGCACAATGAGAAAGATGCAAGGGGCCCCCGAAAGCCCCCCAGATCGGGCCAGGGACCTGTCAGCAGCTCTTAAGAGCCCTAGATGCAAAGCCTTGATCTGCTACCTGGAGCCAGGATTTCATGCTTCTGATCTCGGTTTTCTCATCTATAAAATGGAATGGTGAGCCCTGAGTGCTGGGGGGGCTGTAGGGATTAAATGCATGTCTCAGGCAAAGCAGGGGGCTCAAGCAACGATTACCACCGGGCGCCCACACCCTGCTCATCTTGCACCAGTCCTGGCCTCGAGACCCGGGACAGCCCCTGGCCCCAGCGCCCGTCAGGTACACACTTCGGGGTACTACGGACTCCGGAATTAGGGAGGAAGATCCCTGTTTCTAGGGGGCACCCCACCTCTACCAGCCACACCCTGAGTAGTTCTCCCTACATGTCACCTCCGTACTGGATTCTGTCCTACCACAGCCCCTTCCTCGGGAGCCGCTCCCCCAGGGCTACGCTAAGCCCCTTAGCGATCCCCGCCCCCTCGTCACTCCCCCAGTGCTCACTGGCATTCTCCCCCTATTGCCACCCCTATCCGAAGCCCGCAACAAATCTTCTCACTGTCCCCATTTTCACTGCCGGTCCCCCTCGGGGGCAGCAGTCGCCACGCCCTCACTACCCTTCCACTTGTGGGCGGGCCGCGTGGACCCCGGAAAGGTCAGGCGTAAGGGGGACAGCTCCCCTTCCCGGAAAGTTGGGGCGCCCACCCCTGGCGGCGCTCACATGTCCTTGGCGGGCAGGTTCTTCCCCTCCACGATGCGGATGGACAGAGAGCTGCGCTTGGCCATCGCGAGTCCGTGACGCGGGGGCCTGGCGGGTAGAAGCCAGACGCCAGGGTCCGGGGCAGCCGGCGGGCGGCGGGCCTGGAGGGGAGCGCGGGGGCTGGGGATTCGCTTCCACTTCATTCACCCCGCCCCCGCCCCACGTGCGGGGGGACACTGCGCAGGGCGGACCAATCAGTGGCCGGGGTTCCCTGGTGGGGCAGGGCCGGATCAAGCAGCTGCACTCATTGGCTGTCTGGGAGGGAGGGTGTGGCCTGGACGGAGAAGTCGACCCCCGGCGGGCTCCGCGGTGGAACAGGAGGCACCGGAAAGGTCCGAGTCCCTGGACGCTGGGTCCGTTTGGCAAGTGCCAAAGTGAGCAGTGGGAAGTAGTCTGACTGTCCTAGGGGACACGCGGGCCGGGGAACGGGCGAGGAAGGGGCCCTTACAGAAGCCCTGCATAGGTGTGAATCTAATGAATGAGCGACCGGACGAACTTAGCAAATAATGTCGTGTGTGAGTGTGTGTAACTCAGGAGGCGGTGACAGCCTGGGTGATAGCCCAGGCTGCCCAGAGGTTTTTGAGACCCCCCAGACTAAAGATCTGTATTGCTGGGCTGGGGCTGGGGCTCAGTGGCAGAGCGCTTGCCTAGCACGTGGGAGGCAATGGGTTTGACCCTTAGCACCACATAAAAATAAATAAAATAAAGGCATTCTGTCCATTTATAACTACAAAAGTTTCGTTTGTTTGTTTGTTTTTAATCTGTTGCAGTCATTTGCTTTGTCTTTGAGCATCTGCTTTGGGAGAAGGGGGTTTTCTCGTTTGTCATTTCATTTACTACTACTGTACCTTCTGCAGTGGGGACCTAGTGAGGTGCTCTGGTTGCAGAGGGAAGATTACTTGCGGGAGGTTGGGAGGTCACACAGGTGGCCCCTGGCAGGGCCAGGCTTGGTCTTCCCAATATACGATGACTGCAGATGTTTCCACTGGGGCACGTGGTCCTTCACAAACACCCAGGGCCAGAGCTGAGTTTCTGGAATTGCCCATCTTGTAGTTCCCTCCCCAATCTGAAGGCTGTTGCCTGGCCCTGGATAGCTGTGACACCCCACCTTGGGACCCCTCCTCTGCATTGCCCTAAGCCTGACCTGCAGATCTGAGTCCCAAACAGCTCTGCCACTTCCTTGCTGGGTGGCCCTGGGTGGCTTCCTGAGCTTCTATGGGCTGGTTCCATTTCATCATTTGCAAAGAGATGACAGGGGCAGCCACACCTGTCAAAGCATGCGGGAGATGGTGTGTGTGTGTGTGTGTAGGTGGTTTTCTGTTTTCCTGTTTTGTTATTTATACACTACACACACTCTCTACCAAATTCAGAAGTTATTGAAGATTGGCAGTGAAAAGTCCCTTCTCTCCCAGCCACACATCGTCTTCCCCAAGGCATCCTTGTTTCTTACACATCCTTCTGGAGATACTCTCTGCCTATAATTCAGCTGCGGACATATGTTGTTTTCTTTTGTACACAAATAGTAGCTTACTGTTTACTCTTACAGATCCACTTATTCCATCTTGGAGAGCTGTACAGATCTACCCATGAAAAGATCCTGTTCTCTTTGTCGTTGTGTGGACCTACCATCATCTCCTCCACAGATCAGGGTCCACAGTAAGTGGACTGGCAGTCTGTTGCAGTCATTTGCTGTCACCAGGCAATGGCCTGGGTCACATGTTGCACGTGCGCAGCTGATGATAAATTCCCTGCCCAGAAGCTGCATGCATGCAGGACTTCCATAGGATTGCTAATTGTCTTGCTGCATTGGTTATTCCCATGGACAGGGCCACTCCCGATCAGGATAGCCCCAGATCCCCCATGTCCTCGCCAGTTCACTCTATCAATCTTGTGATCTTTGTGTGATCATGATTTGTCATGGTTCTTACAGGATTTTTTTTTTTTTTTGTACTTGGGATTGAACCGGGGTACTTTACCACTGACCCACATCCCCAGACCTTTTAATTTTTTTTTGAGACAGGGTCTCTCTAAGTTGCTTAGGACCTCACTAAATTGTTGAGACTGGCTTTGAACTTGCAATCCTCCTTCCTCAGCCTCCTGAGCTGCAGGGATTACAGGCATGTGCCACTGCACCCACCTTGGCTGGCTTCTTGGCTGGCTCATTACCCCAACCTTGGGCTATTTCTTTTTTTTCTAAAATAATTTTGCAGTGCCAGGGATGGAACTCAGGACCTCATGCATGCTAGGCATGCCCTCTGTCACCGAGCTACACCCTCAGCCCACCTTGGTCTGTTTTTCAGATCTGACTGGTGGGTTGGGGGCCAAGAGGTCTCTGCCACATCCGGTGTCAGGATGCAGGCTGATCCCTTCTAGCCTGCAGGTGCACAGCCCAAGGCTGGCCCAGGGAAGCCCAGGTTGGAGGGACCTTCTCCCCTGGGTTGTTTTTACCCCCTTCAGGACCCCTTGCTCATTCACTGCTGGTCCTAGGAAGCTGGTCCTCTCTTCCTAAAGCAACCCTGTCCATCTTCAGATTACTCTCCTTGAGGCTAGGGCCTGGACCGCCGCCCACACGCCTCCAGAGTGACCCCAGAACGGTCTAGCTGGAACATGCCTCCCCCCGCAGAGCCTCAGCCTCCTCTGCTCCAAGCCAGACTCCCCTCGCTCTGCGAGACTTCTAGACCCACAATGACCAGGTCATTGTTCCCTGCCCAGCCTCCACTCTACCACCAGGCCTTCTAGAACTTAGCTTCCAGAGCAGGGACGGGACCCCTACTGTGCCCTGGGCTACATAAAGCAAACTTGAGCATCCCAAATCCTCCCTCCTGGACCCTGGGCCCTCCATAATGCCACCTTCAATCCCATAGTTTTGTGGGGCCACACCTCTGTGATTTCTGGTTCCAAACAATAGAAACCAGCTCTAATTTAAACAAAAAAGAGGATTCATTAGAAGCCTATCTAGTGTGACTCAGGGTCTTTGGGAGGGTCAGAGAACCAGGCCCAAAGGCCACACATGACCAGGAGCAATGCCCCAAATCACATCCCAGACGTGGCTTGGTGCAGAGACCTCTACCACTGGCCATGGCGCCAGGGTCCTCATCTCACAGGACACTGGACCAGGGACTGTACCCCTTGTCACTGTGGGACTAGAAAGTCAGTTACAATGGCCAGCCAGCATCTGTGCTGGGAGGTACAGAGAGCAGCCTGCTAGAAAGGAAGGGGACAGCCTAGTGACAATAGTCACTGCAGGATCTCCCGTTTCTCCATATCACACCCCAAATGGCATCCCAAGTGACTAGATGTCACCTGGACTCCAGGCTCCCACATAGTCTTCTCCTTTGATTCTCAGGACAGTCGTTGTGCTGTCCCCATCACTCCCCAGTCTCCTGTGACACACCTGGCATCCACACCAGGAGGGTGTGAGGCTCGCTGCTTGGGGACTGCTGGGCAGTTCTTGGGCTCTGCCTCTGGACCTGCCATTGTAGTGGCCCTTCCTGTGTCCACCGCTGCTGACCTGTGAGGCCCTTCTCTCCACGTGGCCCAGTGGCCTGGGAACACAGCCTGGGAACATGGGGACTCTTGGGGCAGAACAGGTTCCACACTAGATTCAGTGGGGGTGGAGGAGCCAAGCTGTCAGCCAGTTCCTGGAAACTAGTCTCTGAGGAGGGGCTGAGTCAGAGGGTGAGGCCGGAGAGGAGCCTGGCCAGCTGAGCAATTCCGTCTGTACCCATCTCTGTGGTGGCTGCAGAGGGGACCTTTGCTGAGAAGACCGTGGCTCCTTTCCCCAGCTCTCTCCCTCATTCAATCCTCCTGCACTGACTCACTGGGTCATTTGGTAATTTACCTGCTGTGTGCACTGGGCACTGGAGAGCCCCCAGAAAAGCCAACCGCGGTCTCTGCCCTTGGGCTCTGAATGGAAGGAGGACGGGGAAAGGGTGGGTGAAGGCGCTGGAGAGAAATGAATAGGGTCTGCAGAGGAGGGATGCTTCGCTTTATTCTGTGAGCCTGGAGCCACCTTGGGACTCCACAGATGGTTCTCATCAGATGCGGCCCCTGGATCTTGGACTTGCAGAACCAAGGGCTAAATAAACCTCTTTTCTTTATAAATTACCCAGCCTGTGGTATCAATTATAGCAACGGAAAGTTGGTTAGACTGGAAGGAGGGCTCCAAATGGGGCGGCAGCAGGAAGAGGCACGCAGGCACCATGAGGCTGGGCTGTTCTGGAAACATCCTCGAGGGACACAAGGAGGCTTGTGCATGTGATTGGAGAAGCAGCCAGGAACCAACAAATGGGGGACCAGGGCTGCTGGGGAGAACTGGGATGTTTCTTGGGGAAGGGTCTGGAGATGAGGCGTGACATGGGGGTCTCAGGTTTTGGAAGTGGGGGGCAATTTTGAAGCGTTAGTATGTGTGCCTCTTCACCTCCAGCTTCCCGTGCCTGTCACCCCCGGGGGCGAAGGTCTGGAATATCCCTGTACACATGGTTTTTCTTTTCTTTATATTTATTTTTTAGTTGTAGTTGGACACAATATCTTTGTTTTATTTACTGCCAAAGCAGTTGATCCTGACCCATGAAGAAGTCCTATGTACCCAGTCACAGGACAGGAGGTACATCTGGAGTTTCAATGCATGCTTTTGAAATGCACAGCAGATCAATCACAATAAAAGAAAAAGTATTTGGGTTGCAAGAATCCTGGTCTTTGAGTATCAAAAGAGCTCTGGGGGAGCCCCCAGGACCAGCGGCCCCAGCCCAGTCTCCCCTGATGCTTTGGCACTACCTGGGGATGGGATCAGAAGTTGAATGGACTGAGATGAGGGATGAGGATTTAATCTCAATTAAATTGAATAAAAGATAAAGCTTTGCTTTGAGAAAATAAGCCGAGTGTGTGTGTGCTACATACCTTGCCCGTCAGTCAGGGTTATTTTGGGAACAGCATCAGCCAAGCTCTACACCCCAATAAACATTTAAAAATGAGCCACTACTAGTTTTCTCAAAAAAAAAAAAAGTTAAAAATAGAGCTGGGTCTAGTGGTGCACATCTGTAACCCCAGTGACTCTAGATGCTGAGGCAGGAG